GGCTCTAAGTGCAAGCGATTCATGGTGCCGATTGATATGAACATGAAGTAGTTCTTCCCTCAGGCCAAGCTTTGAGGCACGATTGTGGGAACACACTAATTTGCAGCGGAGTGCTGAAAGCCCCCAGACTAGGAGTGACTGTTTAGGGAAAGTTTTGATCACTTTGTTTTGGCTGTACCTATGACTTTTTTTGTGAAAATAAAGTTTTTTTTAAATAAAACCCTGCTAGTCTCTGCCTTAGTGATTGTGAAGATGATCTGCTAGCATACTTGAAAGGAACATCAGTGGTACCCATGTAAATGTACCTTTAACCCCTGTAGGGAGAGGAAAAATGAAAACTGCCTTAAAAAAAGCTAAGGATACCTAGCCATGGTTTGTTCAGCTTCTGTTAAATAATGTCCAAGTAGATGTTTTGGTGGCTGCTATATACAGTTGGGTGGCAAATGGATACAGTCTGGCCAATAGATACTGCCTGGCCAATTTGATAACTGTATTTTTGTGGCCACTGAAATATCTGCTTGGAGATTACTGGTAAAGGTTTTAGGTGCTACTGCAGGTAACCTTGACCTGAAAGCTGTAGCCCCAGGCAGTAAAATGGTACACAGGCATACTCCCACTGGCATGGAGTATAACCAGAGAGTACAATAGAGACTTGGCAGTTAAAATAGGCTTGGTAACCAGGCTATGAAAAATCCATCTGCTTAGCCAATGAGTCCTTTCTGCCATGTCTGCACTGCTGGATTATGTAACCCAATCAGGGTTTAGCTTGTTGCAAATATTCAATCTTTGCAAGGCAAAAGCTACACCTAGCCTATCGGTTCAAATAATTCCTCAATTCATTCCCAGATACATGTACTTTTTATTATCTTTACCCTTCAGTAAACTTTGTGGTGCATTAACAATAATTTCATTTACAACAAGGGTCATGTGTACCAAATTTCATATCCAATAAAATCATTTTATGTTGGAAATTTTAAAAAATCCATAACATTCAATGTACGTTACCACCTCCAAGTTTCTTTCATCTATATATTTGCAGCTTTCTGTTCAATGTATAGAGTCAGTTTCTATGACTGAAACTTTACCTCTCATCACCACCTGGTAATGCTTATGTTTCCAAAATGGTTCAGTACATCTGTGTTAAAGAACAAAACTTTGTGATGAGTCATCTTACACAAGGTTGTGGATAAGTTATAAAGACCACCAGACCCAGACTGTTTATTCTCTTTTATATGACTTGCAACACATAAGGGACGAACAGACCAAAATTCTGGTAGGATCAACATCATGGGCTTGTTTCAATATGGTGCCACACTACCAACTCAAGTGCAATACCACTACCGGAATGCAGCGTATTGTGTTCCATATAGGATCCTCATAGTGACAGTCTGTGCTTTTATCTTTATGTACCATCATGAACTCTTTACTTCAAACAATTATCATCCTGATACATTTAGAAGTAGGCTCAGTCCAACAGCAGAGGAACCAACAAATCAATTTTCACGCACATGGCATTCTTTGTAACTTTTGAATGGTGACCGAATTGTAGTATCCAATTCACTGTTCTGAGTGCTGTTAATCTAACTAACAGCTGTGCTAGAAACTTCTGAAACATCAGGAAAATCTTGACAGAGAATTGAGTACAAAATTCTTTAATAATGCATCAAGGATTTTGATATCTTGCGACGTTATGTTTTAGTACCACACTTAATCTATTTGTAGTCTTGATCCACAAAATACATCTGTGTACATCGTGCTAGCACAAAGTATTTCATCTTCAAAACTAAGCACAATGGCCTTGTAGCAAATACTAGTGGATGTGACATTGTAAAACATCTATCAAGCGTGAATTAAGATAGGAGATGATAAAAGTAAACAGGAAATAGTCAACTTTAACCTGATGTATAAATCTAACATGTCAATATACTTGTGAAAACATACAGAATAAACAAGCTTCAAGTTAGAAAGGCCACAATGGATTTATCGTCCAAACTTTATGACCTTGACCTTGATAAAATTTCATAGTCACGAAGATGCATCATGCAAAGGAGCAGCTATGCAATATGGACACAAAATCTCAAGAAGTATACACTGGTACATTATTACATCAATCTGTATTGCATGTTTTTACTGTACATGCTCACTGTGCATAATAAAAGCTTGGACTTTGATAAGGTACATTATCATATAGCCGGACGGCGCGGACCAATCAGAGGCCCGGATACCCGTGCTGTTATTTCCCGATAACAGCACATGTGGTGTTATGGCGGAATAACAGCACATGTCGTGTTATGGCTGATACCATTATGTTATAGGGTATAGGGGCATGCGACTCTTTCTGTAAACCTTTGTAGCATTTTTCTGTCCAATAAACTTTTTTGTTTAGCTTCATTTAAACTACAATTTGCATTAAATGAAATTATCCATATTTGTTTTAAAGCGTATAATATATTCGAATGTATTTTTATGTATGTATATATATTAAAGCTGTTGTATTTCAAACAGGAATTGTGTTGATTGACAGTTTGGATAGGCTATATGATAATAATTTTAATGCACTGCCTTTT